TTCTGATGAGCAGAATGATGCATTTATGTACCAGTCGACCCGACAGCTCAATATGACAATATCTATAGTTATTACAAAAGCCATGAATTTTCCAAAAAAACAGTCAGGTGCATACTGGCATTGACTATTTTATACCAGACTGCTAACCGCTACGTAAAAATTGGTAACGCGAAAAGTGTTATTTTTGGATTTGTCCGCTATGGGGGCGCTGGTGGATTTTCTAATAATAATGGATATGATTAAGAGATGGCAGCACTATTTTTGATTTATATTCCCCCTCTTATATTTTCTTGTACTAATAATAAAAATTGTTTAGCATATCTTTTTTAATTAATAAATAAAATTTTTTCATCTTCAACGATTGTTACTATCAAATGAACGACGGTTTGCCCATGGGTTCACCCATATCTGGGGTTATATCCGATATTTTTGTCAACAATTTTGAGAGAGGACTATTTTCTGAAAAATACAAACTATTTGTATCAGTTGATCTCCTACCTACATTATCTAAATAAAAGGCTTATTATTATTATTATTTACTGATGACATTTGCTTTTATGGTCGTTATGGTAATATTTGTAAACTGGAGTTCACAATTATATCTAAATTTTCCTTTAACCCTGCAGAACTCGCGCCATTCTGTGGAATACAGCAATTCTGGCTTAAGTGTGAGCGAAATGCCCATAGGTGCGAGTTCTGCAGGGTTAATAGTATACAACACAAGGAGGCCAGGTTCAGATTTTTCTTTAATCGCCTAAACAACAACAATTACATTAACGAACTTAAGAAAATAATAAAAATTGGACTGAATAACGACTTTCAAATTAAATATTTATATTATTAAAATTCACTCTTCACATCTTAACAATATAATTTACCCTCATTTTAATAAAAAATATAAATTTGTTTCTCTCCCTTATAATCCTTCACTTCAATATAAATTCAACCAAACTTTAAATAAATTAGATATTGTTCCTGCATTCCCCACTTTGTTGTAATTATTCAAATCTTAATAAATAATAAACATAAATTTAATAATAATGAACTCAGCGGAGTTTACAAAATCAAATGTAATGATTGTAAGAAGGCTTATATGTATAGGACAGACAGGTAGAAACATTGCAAACCACAATAGAAAATTTAAATTAAATTATTTCTTCTCCCACTTGTTTTCCCTCACTCTTTCACCTTTATCATCTGGCGAACGTTCCTCATGACCTTCAGTCCAATATCACCCCTCATCGCGCTGACTCAAATTATTTAATTTTAAAGGAAATTTTAACGTGTTAATTGTAAGTTTAAAAATTTTCTTTCTTTTTTGATTTCTTATATTAAGTTATTATGGTTCTTTCTCTACACGTTTGGTAATTTGTTTTGTCGTTAATTTTTAACATTTATTTTCAAACACTTTGAAAAACGAGATTTACGATCGATGGAGAAACGCCATTTTAATTTTTTGGATTTTTCAATTTACTCGGGGAGGTTTTTTACTTTTGAATTTTTCGTAAACGGAATCTTTTTGAAGAAATTCTCTCCGATGCTTGAAACAATACGTTTATACGACTTTTAATTTTTGTTAGCAGCAAAAAACCATACAACTTACCTGGAAAAAAACTACCAAATCGATAATAGAGGCATCTCTAATAGACCCCGAGATCAAGAATACCTTAATCCCTCGGGAAAAATCAAGAAGGTGCCCCAAACTCTATGGTCTGCCCAAAATCACAAGCTGGATGTCCCACTTTGACCCATCGTCAGCGCCTTCAACTCACCGCTGCAAATAATTGAGAAGTATCTAGCCAAGATCATGCAACCCCTAACAGAGCAAGCCGACTCCTACGTACGAAACTCTGAACATTTCACGCAAATCTTGGACAACGTTCAACTTGAAGAGAGCGAGCTTCGATGTCAAGTCTCTCTATCCCAGTATCCCTATCGAAGAGGCCCTCAAACAGATTAGAGAGAACGAAGATTTACAGGGAAAGCAGGACAGAAGAAATAACAAAGGTAACTCTGGCCCTTTCCCAAAATGGCTATTCCAGATATATGGTGAAAAAAATAATTTTGATTAAATTCGCTATAACTAAAGAACGGTTTGATCGATTTTAATGTTTCATATTTCAAACGAAAGCTTTCGTCTGGCTGAATAATTATGTGTAAAGTATATTGAACACTTCCATATTTGAAACTGCTAATGTTCCATATGTATATATACATTTCCATCATGCAAAATAATTTGATATTAAAATAGTATCATTTAAGTGTTTGCCTAACCTATCCTTTGATATGGACTCCCTTCGCTGATAGAATGAGAGTCATTCGGCTTGTGCATACAACATATCAATCCTATTTTTCCACGTGGAAATAACCATGGTGCTCTGATCTTGATTGAGAGTTAGTACTTTCACAGAGGCATTGTCGTTAGCGAGGCTTGCAAACCCTCCAGCATGCCGATGAAGTGGGTATATATCTGCATAATGGTTATTTTCCACATGGAATAATAGGATTGATATGTTGTTTGCCCAAGTCGAATGACTCTTTCTATCAGAGGAAGGAGTCCAATCAAAGGATAGGTGCGGCTAACACTTAAATGATACTATTTTAATATCAAATTATTTTAAAATAGTATCATTAACGTGTTTGCCTAACCTATCCTTTGATATGGACTCCCTTCGCTGATAGAATGAGAGTCATTCGGCTTGTGCATACAACATATCAATCCTAGTTTTCCACGTGGAAATAACCATGGTGCTCTGATCTTGATTGAGAGTTAGTACTTTCACAGAGGCATTGTCGTTAGCGAGGCTTGCAAACCCTCCAGCATGCCGATGAAGTGGGTATATATCTGCATAATGGTTATTTTCCACATGAAATAATAGGATTGATATGTTGTTTGCCCAAGTCGAATGACTCTTTCTATCAGAGGAAGGAGTCCAATCAAAGGATAGGTGCGGCTAACACTTAAATGATACTATTTTAATATCAAATTATTTTAAAATAGTATCATTAACGTGTTTGCCTAACCTATCCTTTGATATGGACTCCCTTCGCTGATAGAATGAGAGTCATTCGGCTTGTGCATACAACATATCAATCCTAGTTTTCCACGTGGAAATAACCATGGTGCTCTGATCTTGATTGAGAGTTAGTACTTTCACAGAGGCATTGTCGTTAGCGAGGCTTGCAAACCCTCCAGCATGCCGATGAAGTGGGTATATATCTGCATAATGGTTATTTTCCACGTGGAAAAATAGGATTGATATGTTGTTTGCCCAAGTCGAATGACTCTTTCTATCAGAGGAAGTAGTCTAATCAAAGAATAGGTGCGGCAAACAGTTAAATAGTACTACGTTAATATTAAATTATTTAGTACACTAGCTCAAGATATGGAAGTGTTCAATATATTTCTTTCTCTCGTTTGTGCCCATAGTTTAAGGTAGAGTTTTCTTTATTTATCCTCGTTTTCCTCACCATTGCCGCTAATAAGAATTTTTTATATTTATTTTAGTACCTAAGTTAGTTTATGTAAATAGTCGTTATTAGAGTATATGAAATAAGATAATTTATATAGCCTTTAATATTGTATTTTTTCATCTTCATTTTTCTTTAATTTATTTAAATAAATTATATTTATTTATTTCTTTCATGATTTGTTCCAATAGTTGATCCCACGGTTAGGCACGGAGGCCATAGCGTTTGCCTTGAATAACTTTTATGTTATTTAATTTTTTGTTCTTTAATAGATACGTGCGCCAATTCACGCCATCAAATCACTAAACAAGATACACTAAAAGACATTTCCACATTTAAAGATTGTTATTATTTCCTTCAGTAAAATGTTTATTAGTCCTACTTCATTTTAGTGCATTTTTAAGATTCTTTCTAAGGAGAATTTTAAATAGTAACGATTGTATCTAAGTAACACCAATGGACTTTAAGTATTAATTGTTAGGTATCGACCCTTAAACATTAAACCCTTGAGCAAAGTAAAAGCATTTTATTCCTCGAAAAATAAGAGAGACAAAGAAAACTTTTTCAGATGCCATTTCTTTGATGCCATTTAGATACAGCGTATACAGGTATCCCGTATCTTCCGAATCAGAGCATTATACGGTTGTAGGATACATTATTCCGAAGCGATCTGAACATTTCGAAAAAATTTTATTAGAAAGATATGAACATTTCGAAAAAAATTTATTAGAAAGATCGCTTCAGAATAATGTATCCTACAACCGTATAATGTTCTGATGCGGAAGATACGGGACATTCTGTAGATATATATTGTGTTGTACGCTTGATGTGTGCGTTTATACACAATTTAAATATTTTAACTATAAATTTGGGTTTCTTTAAATTTGTGAGACTCTTATTAAACTCAGGGTTTCGGGCAAGTTCAGGTTCAAAAGAAACTAATCAGGTTCGACAAAAAATTCATTTAATTAAACACAAAATAAAATTAACTCGTTTTATGAGTAACAAAAAAAAATAAAATTGTTTTCCTAAATTTACTTTAATAACAATGCTTATTTACGAGAGATAACTTTTAAATAAAATAGATAACTGCGGTTATCGACTGAAATATCGATATTAGAGAGAACTCGTTTATTATTTGAGAGAGAGAGAGTAGGATAAAACTCGTTAGAACCGTTCTTAGAAAATAACAAAATGGTCGACGTCTTAAATTGTCATCAAACTCGCTAAATAAAAATAGTGTTAAATAAATGAACGTTATTCAAGAAAACTAATAAATCTTTACCGACGAGTAAGTATTGATCAAATTTATATGAAACTCTTGTGATTTGTTCTTTGAGTTTGATTCTTTGATTTTTCTTTTTGTAGGTTATGTTAAATAAGAAAATAAAATTATCATCCGACTCACTGCGAAATAGAAAGGATTGGAATTCAATGTGGAATCTGGATTATGGATTGTCCTCTTGTATTCGAAGTACGATCTAGTTTCTGGGTTTTCTACAGGATTCTTCCTACGGGAATTTTGAACTGCTTGTTCTTCGGAAATAGGGTCTTGGATGATCTCGAAGAAGTATCAGGAGTTCTCGGAATAGGTTGTAGGATGATTTTCTTTTTATTTTAATATCGTAAGTTGATTTGACTTTAAAAATTATCTTAAAATTTTGAGGTTATCTCTTAAAATTCAAAATTTCTTCTATCTGACGACGTGGATTCGACGCTGGTCAGACGACGACTCTCTCGTGCTCTGTTCGCGATCTCCTTATATACCCCGGCACTCCAACTGTTTTTTCCTCGTTTCTGATTGGCTCATAGCTTCGCGCCCTTTTCAAAATTCAAAATTCTTGCTTCGAAACTAGCGTCATCTCTTGATTTTTCTCGGAATTAACCTTCAAAATTTAATTCTTTTTTCGTTGATTTCTCCCTTATTCTTTATAAAACGTAATAAAACTTCGTATTCAAAGTTGTCTTTCCTTGTTTTCAGACATACATTGGAGTACACGTCAAATTTCAACAATGAGTAAAGTTAGAAAAATTCAAATTTAAATCAAGGATTTCTTCCTCAAAATAACGTTAAAACATTAAGGAATGGATGAAAAATGTGCTTTAGGAGCTGAACTATAATAATTGATACTTTTGGAAGCAAACAAAACGGTTTAAAATAAGATTTTTACCAACAAAGAATCTCTCTGTCACAATTTTAAGGTTATGTTCTCTCGGTAAACTAAGAGATGTTAAAATTTATCACATTATATACATATATATAGGTGACGTCCTTTGAGGGCGAGGCTAATTGATCGTCTCTTTTCTTATTATGACTCTATCTCACTCATCTACATTTATTCTCTTTTTGAGAATAAACAGTGCGTGATGCAACCCAACATGCACAGTTACCGATTTTATACATATGGTTAGCAATCTGGAGTAGTATAATCAATGATACTGGTTATAGAAGACAGTCTAACACCATCAGATATCTAGGTAGGGGTATCTACTTCAGTCACGACCCCGCTAGAGCAGTAATAAGATAGCAAAATCAAAAATTATTAAATCTACATAACACCCATTATAATCCACAGTATAGAGTCCTGGTGAAGAAAAACATACTGAGGGTTGCTGAAATGAAAACTTTAAGAACTATCCTAGGCAAAACGAAAAAAACATCCAGGAATGGGGCCGTCAGCAATGAACAGAATGGTACAGGCATGTGAAAGGAATGAGCGGACCAAAAATATCGCAGACAAACAAAACGTGGATTGCTAAAGTTATCATCAGCCAACAATCGAGATTTTTTAAATAATGTAATGTGGAACGATGAATCCTGTTTCACAAGACTTGGGATTGTAAACTCTCACAATTTACATGTTTTGGTATCCCTACGCAATTCGGTCACGAAACTTCCAACACGAATATAGTGTCAACGTCTGGGTAGGTGTTAATAATAATCATCTTTTCGGGCCATACTTTTTGCCATCACAACTAACCGCTGCGGCGTTCTTGTAATTTTTGGTAGCTGAACATGCCTGAGGTAGCTGAGCATATGTGGGATAACATTGATTTAACTTTAAGAACAAAGGCCTGGTTTCAACTTGATGATTGTGCAGCTTATCACGGTAGGGTGGTAAGAAATTGCCTAGACAACCATTTTCCTGCAAGATGGATTGGTCGTGATGGACCAGTCGCATGACCCCACGATCTGCAGATCTTGATGCTTTAGACTTTTTGTGTGGAGATATTTGAAAGGAAAATTGTATGACACACCTGTTCCCACAAGAGATGAACTTTTAATATGATTAGGAATGCTTGTAATGACATACGGCCGTTCTTAAATACCCTTACTCGATAAGTAATAAAATTCGTCGGTCAGAATTATGCAAGCAAAATTTTTTACATTTTCAACAATTTCTTTAATTTTTTTCTTTTATTATTTAGATTAAAAAACATTAATAAACTAAAACATTAGTTAATTTACCTACTTTGTTTCCATGGCACACATTATTTTAACGATCTTAAACTATCCTCTAAAAACTTCTTGAAAACGATCAACTTTAGCGCATTTTGATAAGAGTATCCTTTTTGCTTAAAAAAGTACAGAGAATAAGAATTTTTATTCAAAAAGCCAAAAAGTATACTGTCAGAAAAGTTGTTGTTATTTTAATCCGGAAAGAATACGTTACAGAGCGTGCAAAAAAACCTCCGTATACCAAATTTGAAAAGAATCTGTTGAAATACACATGTAATATTAAATAAAAATCAATTTAGAAATTTAATTTGAACACCCTGTATCTTCAAAACAAAGCGTTTGTCAACCTATGTTTATATGAAGTTTTTGTGCTAATTTTAAAAGATCTATCGACTGTTAAAGTCCTGCTACAAAAACCTGAAACACCCTGTATACTTTAATGGAATACTTTTCTCTTAATGAAATTAATTTAAATAAAAATTAGAACTTAAAACCAAACTAAAACAAATTTTGTGTTGATGCGTTACAAATAGAAACGCAACAAAGAAGTACATAAGTTTGAAAGAAGTAAAATATTTGAAATGAATCAAAAAGATGTGTGCGATAATGTAAAAAAACTCAATTATTTATTATATAAACGTTTAGTTATTTTTTGTTTAATATTTGTCTAATTTTAAACAATTTTCTTTTAAAAACATTTAATTTTCTTAACGATTCGTCTTTACAGTTTAAAAAATTAATACTATATGATATGAATAATCTTTGTCGAATGAAAATTCGAAGTATTGGGTGATAATTTTCATCAAATTTATTGTTAAATATTTTAATAATAAACTAAACACTAATAATAAATTGTCTTGTAAAATAAATTAACCTAGGACTAAATCACTACAATAAAATAAACACAAAAATAATAACACCAAATGACACCAAAACACACATCGCGTGGCTCGTCAGCGTCTGTAACACGTGACGTCACGATTAGGGCATGTCAGGGGTGTTTACTTTTCATACGTTGAAAGCCTTGGTCTGGCCAACCTGGTACAATACGCTTTACGGACCTTGGTATACAGGTGTTTGTAGCAGGACTTTAACAGTCGATAGATCTTTTAAAATTAACACAAAAACTTCATACAAACATAGGTCGACAAACGCTTTTTATTTAATAATACACGTGTATTTCAACTGATTCTTTTCAAATTTGGTATACGGAGGTTTTCTGGCATGAGAAAAACGATTATGGAGTCCGTTTTACTATAGCCGCTGTGTAACGTATTCTTTACGGATTAAAATGACAATAACTTTTTTCTAAACTTTTTTTCTTAAAAATTATGACTGGTATTACATGCCATCTTCCGTACATAAAATATTAATTCACGGTGAAGGTATTATACGACATTTTGCAATTTTACCTATTGGACAGCTATCAGGAGATGCACAGAAATCTCGAAATAAAGATTACAAAAAATTTTGACTACTTCATGCACGAAAATGTTCTTGATATGTAGCATTGCTACTCGACGCTAGATGGCACTTGTTCAATGAACTCTCTGGAATTTGGTAGCAGCTACTAGACCAGATAGAATGTTACCGTACATTCCAGTATGATGTTCGTTTGGGTATATAAAGACGTGAGCCGCTGCGAGCAAGTCACTTTTTAATTGGAAGCGATCAACGAAACAAGCTAAACAAGCGAATTGGAAAGCGATTATAAGACTACCGGCTTGCCTGTGTTAGTCAATATTGATTTATATTTATTAAATAATAAGATCTCATCATCTCAGTGTTGAGTTGTGAAGTTTCTGTGTGTGTCTCCATTCATCATCTTATCAAAATGGACATCAAAAAGTTTTTTGGTAAGTTATGTACTGCTTTAATCTTGGACTTCGAGCTAGTATTTTTATTTTATTTAATTATATTTGTGGTTTAGTTAAATACAAATTAAAACACGAAAACAGAAACAGACGAAACAGCTCATATTTCTGGCACTGAACAACTATCGATTGGGATGCGATATTTTGATGAAGAAACAGCAAGTCCAAGAAATGTTTGTCGGCTTCATTGAGCTAAAAGATTTGGATGCGAAATCGATTGCACATAGCATAGATGAGTATTTGACAAAAGAAGATCTGAATATAAATAAATGCGTTGGTTTTGGTTTTGATGGTTGTTCAACGATGTCAGTAAAAGACGGAGGGGTACAAGCGATCTTACGCAAAAAGTACACCAAAGCCCTCTACTTTCATTGCTCGTCCCACAAACTGAATCTAGTTATCAATGATCTAAATTCACTTCCTGAAATTAGAAATGCCATGAGAACCACCAAAGATACTATAAACTTTTTTCGGGAATCAGTTTTGAGGAGGAAGTTGATACCTAATATTTCCAGACTTTGCGAGACAAGATGGAGTGAGAAACACAAAACCATCCAGAGTTTTCAAAGAAAATCTTCCAGTAATTCTGGAAGCCTTACAAACATTATCTCAGGAAGCAAGCAAACTGCATGCGGCTACTTTCAGAATTTCTTTCATTCTCGGGATTATGTTGGTAGCCAAATACTCGGCTTTGATGGAACCCGTTGTCAACGTACTCCAATCTGTAGCTTTGGACGTGGTCAAAGCTTCGGAACACGTTAAAAGGATTTTACTTTTAATTAAAAACCACCGTGAAAATCCAGAAAAAGTGACAGACGAAATTATAAAGGAAGCTACTGCTGTTGCGGAGAAAGTCGGACTGGAGGAGGACATTACATCAATGCCGCGTATTACGGGGAAACAAGGTCATAGAAGCAATCATCCAGCAGAAAGCCCTTCAGAATACTGGAAGAGGTCTTTAGTAATACCATACTTGGATTCAATTATCACCTCCCTTGAAGTACGTTTTGCTGAAGAAAACACGCCCTCATTCGCATTATCTAAGTTACACCCGGCGCAGATGCAAAAGATGACAACTGAAAATCTGAAACAAACTTGTGAATCTATTGCCCAACTTTATGATTTACCGAACATAAAGAATGAAATCGAACTTTGGCAGCAATTGTGGCACGATAGGCTTAATCTAACAAATCTTACAGTTGTTAATCTCCTAAAAGAAACAAATTCCTTCTTTCCCGAAATGGAAAAAGCATTGAAAATTTTGATCGCTTTACCATGCACGACCTGTACAGTAGAGCGATCCTTTAGCAGCCTCAGAAGACTAAAAACATGGCTAAGAAGCATCATGGCAGAAGATCGCCTTAATGGTCTGGCCATGATGAGTGTACACAGAGCTATAATAAATAAAAACCTAAATAATTATAATGATAAAGTGGTTGAAAGTTTTGCAAAAAATCCCCGCAGGTTATGTTTTAATTAAATATTATTTTTGTTAAAATAAATAATTATTACTGTGTTTAAAAGCTTGATTTAGTTATTGTGCTGTCGAGGGCTTGTGAAGTTTTATACATTGATATCAGAACCGTTCTTATTACAATCGTCATCGAGGCAAAGACTTCCAAAGTGTAACGTTTCATGCTTTCGACTGTACCAGGCGTTCATATTTTTTATCCTCCATAATATTGCCCCAATGCCCCCCCCCTCCCTTAGTCATAAGCTGGCGACGCCCTTGGCTACAAACGAAGATGTATTTCATACACTCCTTTATACATCAGATAGATATAACGAATATTAGAAAACAGTGCATTAAAAATGTAAAGAAACTTGACGAAGAAACCCTAGCTCTTTTAACACAGCATCACCTTTTGTTTTTCAAATTGCTCCATATATTTTTCTTCATGTCATTGGATAGAGATTGTTTTTCTGAATCCATTGATGTACAATACATCCATGTTGAATGTAATTTTAGCAGAGAAAAGACACCTGTATATACAGGTTGTCACACAAGAACGCCGCAAGCTGTAAGTCTGTCATTTACCATGCAATTTTTATGAGCGAGGTATCAAATGAAATGGTTTGATGAATACTATGATTCATGATACAAATAAACTTTTTTGCCATCTTCAATTTCAAGCGTTATTGCACAATACATTAACATTAATTGTAATTTTAGCAGAGAAAAACAATTAAAACATTTTTCGAACATCTGTCATTTCATACTGTAATGGAAAAAAATAACGCGCAAAACTGATAACAGTCATTAAATGATATTTCCATGCCTGAAGCAGTTGCAAATGACTATTTTTCCCATAGCACAATACAGTATAACACAAGTGACTTTAAGAGAATGTTCGGAAACTATCTTAACTGTTTGAGTGCGGAGAAGCGCGATAGCACTCCTCTGGTTATATGCCAAAAGTGCTGGAAGCGCGATAGCGCTCTATAAAACCGGTAAGAGCGGGGAGAGTGACGCTCCTCCGCATTTTTGGCATATCCACCAAATTTGTTCCGCACTCAAACGCTTAATGTTTTTCTCTACTACAATTACAATTAATGTTGATGTATTGTACATTAATTGATTCAGAAAAAAATATCTATTCAATAACGTGAAGAAAAACATACCGAGCAATTTGAAAATCAAAAGTTGATAATCGTTTGAAATTGTTGGGAAAATTGCGTTGGGAAAAGTTTATTTGGTGCATGAATCATAGTATTCATCAAACCATTTCATTTGATACCAGTTTTTGTATTTTTTTTTCTTGAATTCCATTATAATAACAAAACTAGAGTGCTCTACACTCGACTTTCTAACATTTTTATACGACTGAAAAATAAATTTTTGGAAAAATACCTTTAAACGGACACTAAATTCAAAATAACTGTTGAATTTTCTGTATTTTAACTCCAATATGCAAAATCGCATGTGGCGGTGATTTGTTAAGTAAAATACTACTTCCGGTTTCATGATTTCAATGAAATTTTTTATCTACACGTTTTTCAAAGATAAAAAAAGCTTAAAGAAAGGCTTATAAAAAATTTTAACAATTTATTTTACTAAATACCAGTTTATATGAAACAAATGGGTACAGGTTCAAGTCAAGTACTACTTCCGGTGATAAGGTGGTAGAAATTTTGTATCTAACAGTTATTCATTCGTAATCAGATTTTTACAAAATTTTATTTGTTAATCTCTATTTGTAAGTTTATATGAAACAGTTTCAAAATCTGTTAAAGTAAACTACTTCCGGTCGACCGATTTGTCCCAAAAGTTGGTAGAGATCAACAGTCTTAACTTAATAACCGCATACCGAATTTCATCGAAGTAGATAATTGCGTCTTTGAGTTATCGTGTTTACGAACGCACGTATATAATACATACTATATACCAGCGATGCACAGACTTATTAAGACTAGGGGCCACTCGGGCAAATCATGAACCGATGGCGAGCCGCCAGAAGTATAGGTAATTAAAGACAATAAAGAATTGATAATAATGTATTAAAATTGAAAAAGAATTTATTAATTTGAAGCGTGGCACTGCATAGTGCTTACAATCTTTTTTATATTTGGCTCAAATTTACTTGTAGCAACACGTAAAACTGCTTCCAAACTATCATTTGCAAGGCGGTTTCGATTTTTTGTTTTATTATTATTTAGTATTGAAAAAGTTTGTTCACATATATAGGTAGAACCAAATAAGCTGGCACATTTCAGAGCGTTTATGCGCAACTCTTTGTACATATTTTTATCAATGCAGCGGTAAAAGTTCTGCAAGTCTCCTTCGTTGAATTTGTTGCGTAAATCTTGGTCGTTTTGAATGTCGATAATTTCTAACTGCATTGACTCTGGCGCATTTTCAACTGAAATCGTGAAAGGATTGCTGAATATGTCCAACAGAGGTTTCACTTTTTTAAACTCCGAAAATCTGTCTTGAAAAGATTGAATCAAAATATCTAGCTTTTCTACATAACTGAAATTAATCGCAGTTTTGTTGAATTTTTTAGCCATTTTCTTATAATTCGGAAAATGATTGTAATTTCCAGAATTCAATTGCGATCTGAAAAGTGTCAGCTTGCTTTGAAAGGATGATACATGAGCGTAGAGCTGGGATATCAGTTGATTTTTGCCTTGAAGCCGTGTGTTCAAGACATTCAAATGATTTGTAATGTCAACTAAAAAAGCCAAATCACACAACCAATCAGGATTGTTAAGTTCCGGGACATCCTTTTGCTTTTCCGCCAGAAATATTCCAATTTCTTCTATTAAATTTAGAAATCGTTCCAGTGTCAATCCACGACTTAGCCACCTTACTTCTGTATAATACAGTAAATCTCCATATTCGCTTTCGATGTCATCAAGGAATTGTTTGAATTGCCTGTGATTGAGTCCTCGTGATTTTATGAAATTTACAGTCGAAACTACCACTTTCATGACATTTTGAAATTCAATTTTTTTAGAACAGAGGGCTTCTTGGTGTATAATGCAGTGAAACTGCATGAGATCTTCAGCGTTTATGTTTTTTTCTTGCAGATGCTTTTTCAGCAAAGTAACTAGCCCGGAATTGACACCAATCATCGAAGGAGCACCGTCAGTCGCAACTCCCGATAATTTTGATAAGTCCAAATCAGTTTTTGAACACTCATCCAAAAGTACATTGAGTATATCAACTCCTTTGGTTTGACCTTTCAATGAACACATTCCTAATAACTCTTCTAAGACTTCAAAATCTTGAGTAACACCTCGTATGAATATGAGAAGTTGAGCTGTGGAACTAATATCAGTGGATTCGTCGAGTGCTAATGAAAAAAATTCAATGATCTTAGTTTTTTCAGTTAATTGTTCCGCAATATTACCTGACAAAGACATAATTCGTCTTTGGATAGTCATACGATTCAGTTGAATTTTCTCAAACTTTTTTGCTGCTTCTGGACACATTTTCTTAGCGGCAATTTCTATGCATTCTTTTACAAAATCCCCATCATTGAAGGGGCGACTTCGCTTTGCTATCATTCGAGAAATTTCATAACTAACTTCTGTAGCTGTTTCTGAATCTTGAATGGGTTTTATAAACATAGCTTGCTGACCAATAAGCTCCCGTTTTAAAGACAACATTTTTTGCTTTCTTAATTCGCCTGTAAACTTGGTAAAAGTAGGATGCTGCGTTTCATAGTGCCTTTTTACATTATATTCCTTTGCAATCGCAACAGAATTCTTGCAAATTAAACAAACGACTTTGTTATGCGACCATACGAAAAAGTATTTCTCAGTCCAAATTTCTTGAAACTGCCGATTTTCATCTTTAACCTTACGTTTTTTACTAGGTCCTGGCTTGTCCATGTTGTGTTCTAATCCTGGCTAGGATTAACACAGCACCTAAAAACAATTACAGTACCTACTTAAATTACCCATCCTTTTTTAAATTACCAAAAATAATTGATTAAATAGGTAGGGAAACACTTATTAATAACAGAGTTTTACTTACGATTTCACAACATAGTTATACACGGCACTTGGCGGGTTAACACTGCCACAGGTAATCTACGTTGAATGTGGATCAAAATATATGACACCGGCTAGTCGAGTTAAAATCTACACTAGAACTATTGCCTTCCAAAAACACTATTAAACTGCACTTATTCTCAATCACTTGTAACTTCGCTTTGTATTTTCGCGCTTATTTCTTTCTGTTGACACTTCACTCAAATTTAAACCGAACTGTCGGTCGCTGCGGTTAGCGTGGCTTTTATACCGCGCGTATAGAGTCGAAAACTGTCTGAAGAAATCTCGAAACCGACTCTGGAAGCTTCGTGTATCTACGCGAGCAATTGGGAATTCGGGACTATTGCTATCGACTTAAGTCGATGTTACTTGACTTAGTCATGAACTGGCGCGGTATTTGAATGATTTTCATAAGTTTTATGGACGTCGCTCACAATATCAAAAGAAACAAAGTACTTTAATATTTATTATTTTTCGAATGTACGAGAATATTATTTTTGCTGTCGGCGGGCCACCAGTATTCGACCTGCGTGCCGCGGTCTGTGCATCTCTGCTGTATACTAACACATACATATGTACAGATGTAATGCTAAAATGGTCAAAATAGATTCTAGGACCATCAAATGTAAAGATTCATCACAACCTCGATAGGGTAGTTTGGGACAGTAGTTTGTCTTCATATAGTTCGTATATACGAGGAAATAAAAATAATAATAAAAAAAAAGAAAATGGTACTCTTACTTCCTGTAATGTAGAATATTCGTACCAAGTTTGAAAGGTTTATTTTTAAAAACAAAAAAGTTATTGATTTTTGATCAGCAAACGGACTAAATTTTCCATAGTGCGCCGCAGCGGTTAGTTGTGGTGGCAAAAAGTATGACCCGAAAAGATGATTATTATAAACACCTACCCAGACGTTGACACTAAATTCATGTTGGAAGTTTCGTGGCCGCAATGGGTAGGGATACCAAAACATGTAAA